AAAAAAAAAAAAAAAAAAAAAAAAAAAAAAAAAAAAGAGAGGGCTGGCTGGTTAGCCCAGTAGGTAAGAGCAGCATGGTGTTATAACACCAAGGTGAAAGGCTCAGATCCCTGTAATGGCCAGCCACCAAAAAGAAAAGAAAAAACGGAAAGGCCAACCAGAAAGGTTATGTGATTTTACAAAGGTCATATAGCTAGTTAACAACAAAACCAAGACTTGACCCTGACTCCCAGTGCAATGTTTTCATTGTACCTCATAATGTACCTCATTATGTATGCTACACATAATTTCACCCAAGGTTTGTAAATTCCTTTAAATCTACTTACTCATACTTATGGGGGAAAAATCTGTACAGTTAAAACTATCGTAAAAAAAAAAAAGCTGTACAGTTAAAACAAATAACTGTAAAGTTATTCTGAAGTATTTACCTTTCTACATGCAGGACAAAGCCCATTTTCATCAGTGCGAATTCGATGCCAACAAAATCGGCAAATCTGGTAGCCACAGGTGCAAGGGAAAAAGTTGATATCATCTATCTCCAAGGGCTCCATGCAAAGAGGGCATTCCACAGGGTCTTCCTTCGCATCAGGACTGCGAGACATCTTCACGTTTATTAAACAGCAGCAAAAATTTATAATAATTTAAGGGAGAAGGAAGTTCAGCACTTGGAGCTAAAAGGTAGAATTTTGAAGACCTGCGTAAGAAGACACAAAAAATATTGTTTACTACTAGTGAAAAAATTGGTATATTCAACAATCAAGAATCACATTATCAAAAAATCTCAAAAATATTGATGGAACAACTTTTGCTATTATCATCTTAGAATGTATTTTAGAATGGATTTCTGAAAATTTTTACATATCAAGATAAAAGGTCTGGCATTAATTTTGTGGATTCAACAGAAATATAAAAGAACTTCCTTTCCTTCCTATAGCATTATAACCATAATATATTTTAGGAGAATAAATAAGATAAAGAAGCATCTTCAGCCTTAAAATACACTCTAAACTGTCTCATCTTTGAACTAGTAATACTGAAAGCTAGTAATATATGAGGACTACTATAGGACTATAAATGTGTCACTATTTATAAAACAGACCAAATGAAAAAGAGACTTCAATCATCTATGGTTACATGTCAACATCAAACTCTTGCCACACACAGGCTACAGTTTAAAAAAAAAAAAAACCCAAAAAAATCTCAAAAATATTGATGGAACAACTTTTGCTATTATCATCTTAGAATGTATTTTAGAATGGATTTCTGAAAATTTTTACATATCAAGATAAAAGGTCTGGCATTAATTTTGTGGATTCAACAGAAATATAAAAGAACTTCCTTTCCTTCCTATAGCATTATAACAATAATATATTTTAGGAGAATAAATAAGATAAAGAAGCATCTTCAGCCTTAAAATACACTCTAAACTGTCTCATCTTTGAACTAGTAATACTGAAAGCTAGTAATATATGAGGACTACTATAGGACTATAAATGTGTCACTATTTATAAAACAGACCAAATGAAAAAGAGACTTCATCTATGGTTACATGTCAACATCAAACTCTTGCCACACACAGGCTACAGTTTAAAAAAAAAAAAAACCCAAAACAAAACAGTAACATGCCATACAACCTGTTTACAATTAATTATATAATAATATGGCAATGAAAACTTCTGAGAAATTTATATTCAATAAAAGTATTCCTATGGTAATGCTACAAAAAACCGGTAAGAAACAAGAATGGGGAAGAAAACAAACAGCCCTTCATATCACAAATACTTTTTCGAAAATTAAATAATATATCTTTTTAGATTATGGACAGTTGAAAAATTTCAGGTAACAACTTAGGCCAAAGTCACTGATTAAAAAATTAGGTTGAAATCACTATTTTAGATTAAAAACTGATAGCCTGCAAACTAATCTTGAACTTGATGCAATCACCATCATGGTATTTTTTTCACATAATTTAATAAACTGATTCTAAAGTTTACATAAATGCATGAATATTACTTTGAAACTTCTGGGGAAAAAACATAGGTATGTGCTCTATCAAATACTGAACTGCACTACACAGCTACAATAATTTAAATAATTTCATATTAGTACAAGAATAGATAAAAGAGCAAAGAAACTAAATAATCTAGAAACACCCATGAATATATGAGATTTTAATATTTGACAAAAGTTATATTACAAATCAATAGGAAAAGGATGAACCACTGAACTATGCATTTGAAGAAAAAATATTATATATCTAACTCAGTGCAATCAAAATAAATCCCAAATGATCTGAATAAAGAGCTATATACATTGAAATAAACTACTGAAGTTGTTGGAAGAAAAAAATATCATTAAAAAAAAAAACCAAACAAACCTTCGGATACAGAAAGCCTTCTGACATAGTTTGGATATGTTTGTCCTCCCCAAAGCTCATCATGAAATCTGATCACCATTCTGGCAGTGTTGGGAGGTGTTTGGGTCATGGGGGTGATCTCTCATGAACAGATTAATGCCTTGAGGGAGAGGGGTTAGTGAGTGAGTTCTCTTATTAATTCCTGTGAGGGCTGGTTATTGAAAGAAGCCTGGCACCTCCCCTCCCTCTCTTGCTTCCTCTCACCATGTGATCTTCTTGCACCACTTGCTGCCCACCATGAGTAGAAGCAGCCTGAGAACCACACCAGAAGCAGCTATCACAGAATCATGAATCAAATAAACCTCTTTTCTTTGTAAGTTGCCTAATCTTAGGTGTTCTGTTATAGCAACATAAAAATGAACTAATACGCTTTCCTAAGAAAAACAAAATTTCAGAAGTCATAAAAGGATAGAGTCAACTTACCAACGTGAAAACAAGAAAATATAAAATTAAAGGCAAGCAACGGAGTAAAGAATATATCCACTATACATAATGATGAGCTAATGTCCAGAATATATAAAGAAATCTTACAAAGCAATAAGAAAAAGGCAAATAAAAGAAAAAATGAGAACAGAATATGATAGGTAGTTCATAAAAGAATTATAAGTGATTAAAATATATGAAAAGATGATTGAAATCTTTAGTTAGTCAAGAGTGAGGTAGAATTTTTCCCCCCTCAGTCTGTCAAAGAAGTTAGTTTCCCCAAAAGTAGAGATTATCACTGATCTCGTTCCTCTTCACTAAAAAGGAAATGGGAGCACATTATGTTGGCTTAAATTACATAGCTATTAAGTGGTGTAGCCTAGATTATTTCCAGGAAGTCTTAGCCCCAGAATCTATGCTCTTAACCACTCCATTATACCACCTAATAATCTATTCTACATAAATACTCAGGCATGTACACCAAGTACTTTGCTATGTTCTGCTGTAGCACTGTTTTTAAGAGCAGAAAATTATAAACAACATACGGTCCATCAATAGGGAAATCATTAAGTAAATTATGATACAGCCATAAGGTAGATCTATGTATGCTGCCTCAGAAACTGTCTATTCAATTCAATATATACGGAGAACTATAAACTATAAATTTTTAAAACATAAATACAATACCACACACATTATATTTTACTTAATCAATGTTTTATAAGTATGAAATTCTTGTTTAATTAATAATTACTCTACTCTCACTAGAATGGAAACTTCAGGAGAGGAGAGAAGTTACTTGGTGCATCACATATCTGAATGTATACCAAGCAGTTACAACATGGCTGCTAGTTAATAGTAAGCACTCACATATTTGATAAATGAGTAAAAGAAGGAAAGAATTATTTGTTACAGGAAACAGCACTTTAAGTTGTCTCTGTATTAGGTATGTATTTCACAAAGCATGTTACTTACATAAACAACACAAAGACAAAAAACAGACTTAACAGTAGCTATGAGCAGGTTGCTAAGTGAAAAAGCAAGGTAAGTGACTGTTTAAATATCAGCACCAATACTTCTACCCCTTTTTAAATTAAGTACCAAAGTACTGATACACATTTACCATGAATATTCATACACACAGAACTCAGGACTGTCTGTATTACCTCTAGAAAGGCAGGAAAACTTATTAATGTTTTAGAAAAATATTTACCTAAGACCTAAAATGTCTCCCTCATAAAAAGTCAAACTGGAGTTATACAGAAAAATTAACTATGTGGGACTGCTTTCTACCACTCCATCACTTTGCTATTTTATTTAGTAAAATATTTGTATTTTACTTTTCTAAGATATAAACCAAAAAAAGCAGCATATAAATCATCTCACTTAACATAACATGCCCCCAGAGGAAGCTCTGAATCTCTTCCCAAAAGAACTGACTTCATTTGCAAGAGGATGAAGTTCAAGCCTAAGGACAATCTCAAAGTCAAGAAAGTTGAAGTGAAATGCAATTGGGGAAGAGATTCAGGATTACAGGCTAAACTACAGGCCAACTAGTCGGCAGGTGAGAACTAGGGAATAAGACAACTGGGATGAGCTCTCCTGGAGTAGAAACAAATCTCAAGCACTGACTTCAAGATTTGTTTGGATCTGGCTGAGAATCAATTTATGTCCTAGGGTATTGTTGAAAATAACACGGCAGTCAGCCAGAAATTAGTGGAGATTAAAAACTGGGTGTGGTTAGGGAAAGAAACAGCAGAAGAGAACCCTGCCAAACACTGTCATCCCATGGTACATACAGGCATGCCCGAGTCTGTGCCCCCAAAGAGCAACACGAGAGGCTTAACACTGCAAGAAGGAAATAGATTTCACTAAAGCATCTACACCGTCACTAAACAAATAAGCAAACAACAATACAAGCCCCTGGAAAGGGGTGGGGTGGGGTGGTGGGAGCAGTGCTGACTGGAGATCAGTACCCAGAGTTGCTACAATATTAAATAAAACGTTCAGTTTCCAACAAAAAGTTACAAGCTGGGCAAAGAAACAGGAAATTATAACCCATATACCAGAAAAAATGCAGGCAAAGGACACTGCCTGTGAGAGCAACCAGATATTGGATTTAACAAAGACTAAAGGAGCTGTTATAAGTATGTTCAAAGAACTAAAGGAAACCATAATTAAACAAATAAAGGAAGGTATGGTGACACTCTCTTCAAATAGACATCAATAAAAATTACTAAAAAGAACTAAATGTAAAGTTTGGAGTTGGAAAGGACAGTGACAAAAAAATTTACTAGAGGGGCTCAAAAGTACCTTTGAACTGGCAAAAGAAAGAACTGGCAAATGCGAAGACAGATTGATAAAGATCATTGCAATCCAAAGAACAGAAAGAAAAAAATGAAAAAAAAAAAAAAATACAGAGCCTCAGAGAAACATGGAACATCATTAAGCACACTGACATACATGTTATGGGAGTACTATATAAGGACAGGAGAGAGAGAAAAGAGAAGAAAAAATATTTTAATAAATAATGGCTGTAAAGGGGCCAGCCCGTGGCTCACTTGGGAGAGTGCAGTGCTGATAATACCAAGGCCATGGGTTCAGATTCTATGTAGGGATGGCCGGTTAGCTCAAGGGTTGAGCATGGTGCTGACAACACCAAGCCAAGGGTTAAGATCCCCTTACCAGTCATCTTTAAAAAAAATAATAATAATAGTGGTTGTAAGAAAATAAAGAACTACAGCTCCATAACAACAGAGATGCATCTCACAAACATGATGTAGAGCAAAAAAAAGCAAGACAAAGAATACTTTGCTGGTCATATAAATTTCAACAGGCAAAGAAAAACCTATATT